AGGGTGGTCATTCATATAAACTGATCAGATACTCTACTATAGTGACAGGTGTCACTAGCATTCTCATCACAAAATATAAGTATCTGAGGTGATGGATATGTTAATTAGACTTATTTAATCATTCCATGTTGTGTGTGTGTGTGTGTGTGTGTGTGTGTACATATATATAATGATTATCACTCTGTACCCCCCAAATATATAAAATAATTATTTGTCAACTTAAAATTTTACCTGCAATATTTGACAAACTTCCCAAAAACAAAATTCTAAATGCAGTCCTTTTAACCTCAAACTAGCTTTTAATAATAGAGCCAGATGAGTAAATTCACACCTAACAGGTACAATGCACACTAACTAGGTGAAGGGCACACTGATAACGTTGACTCAAACTGTACAAAAGCAAATTATGTCAGCAAAATGTGTGTACCCCCGTAAAATTCTGAAATAAATAATAATAATAATAGAGCCACTAAAAGTCCAAGAGAAACTTATTAGGCTTACTGATGTGTTAAACCATACAGGAAATATTGTCAGTTATGAAACTGCACTTGATTTTCTTTGGGTTGTATTTGTATAAATATATTACAAATATCTGTTCCAAAACTATGTAAGATTCCTAAAATTCTAATATGCCTTATTATCAATAATTATATATGCTAAATTATTGTATGCCACAGAAATAACCACATCTCTTTAGCATCTTTAACATAATTATTCTAAGATCTTTATCATCCACAATTATTATTTTACTTTAATTCTTCTCAAACAATAGTTTATAATCAGCTATAGTCCTAAATATGCTTCTTTAAGAAAATGTCATGGAAAGAACTCCCCGACAGGCAGGGTTACATACATCCCTTCCGTGGCTCGCATCCACATGCCCGCACGCTGCCGGCAGACAGGGCCAACTACAGCTCGGCCACCTGCCCCTCTCGACTCCCTGAGCGCTTCGACTCTAGCTCTGTCGTTCGGTTTCTCCTTACACATCTTTTTTTTTTTTCCATTCCATATGCAGGAGCTTCTTTTTTCTCATTATTGGCAACAGAAATGACTGGATTCATGGTATTGTGAAAACATATTTGAAAGTAAATTCAAGATATGTTGGAAAGATATTATTGCTTTGCAATAATATTAGAGAGAGAGGTCTGTTTATGGGCCATTTAAACATAGAGGTAATTCTTGTAATTATCAATAACTCCCTTGGCTCAATTTCAATGGCAGGATATTAAGCGTAATGGAGGAAAAGCAAAGTGGAAAAAAGAAAAGGAAAAGGAACGTGAAAAACAAAATTGATGTTAGTGGGTTGGTAACACCAGATCCTTCTATGTGATCCTTGATCCTCTGGGTCTAATCAATTGCTTCCCATTTGTCTATTTATAGCATAGGTTCTGACACACAATTCCCCACTCGTGGAGAACTTAGTGTTCTTTCCTTTTTCAAATTCCAACTCCTTGGTTACCAACGTGAATAGCTTGGGGTATATCTTTCTACATCCTACTGGTGTAGAGACATATATACGTATTACATGGGATTTTTTCCCTTCCTTCTTTTTTGCCTGTCTGTCTGCCTTCTTTTCTTTCTTTCCATTTATTTTTTTTTTTACAAAAAGGTATTCCGGCCGGGCGCGGTGGCTCATGCCTGTAATCCTAGCACTCTGGGAGGCCGAGGCGGGAGGATTTCTTGAGCTCAGGAGTTCAAAATCAGCCTGAGCAAGTGAGACACCGTCTCTACTAAAAATAGAAAGAAATTAGCCAAACAACTAAAAAAAACCAGAAAAAATTAGCTGGGCATGGTGGTACATGCCTGTAGTCCCAGCTACTCGGGAGGCTGAGGCAGGAGGATCGCCTGAGCCCAGGAGTTTGAGGTTGTTGTGAGCTAGGCTGACGCCACGGCACTCTAGCCTGGGTAACAGAGTGAGATTCTGTCTCAAAAAAAAACAAAAACAAAACAAAACAATATATTCCATCCACACACATTCTGCAAATGAATTTTCGCTTAATAATATATCCTAAATATGTTTCAGGATATAGATCTAAACAATTCTTTTAAATATCTATAATATATTTGAAAATGTTATTGTACTATAATTAACCTATTCACCTATGGATCATCACTTCATTTCCAATGTTTCATTTCTAAAAACAATCCAGGACATTTTCTGGTTCCAGAAATGGCAGACGAGGTATTGCAGACCAATCCTCAATCAAAACAACCAAAAAAGTAGGGCAAGATACACACACACACCCCATATCTATACCTGTCTGAAGGCACTAGAGACCTGCCAAGCCAGTAAAGACTAGAAGGTTCTAGATCCCAGGAAAATAAATTAGCCCCACTTTTGCCTTATTTTGCACTCAAGCATTTTCCAGTTTGAATCTACAGCTGAGACGCTAACAAGCTGAGGTGAGTGTGTGTTCAGCAATCTCAGAATTATTATAGCAAGAAAATAAAATGATGCATACATAAGCACTCAGTAAATAACAAAGCACAATTGGAATAAATTGTATACATGTACATGTGCATATCACTATTGTTACTATCTCCATAAACTAAGCAATGCTCTACTTCCTCTGGGGAAAGAGTAATTCATTAGAAGCGTAAGTGTAACTACAGTAGAGAAAATTGTTTTGTGAAATACATTTTAGATACTTAAAAACCAGGAGGCTACAGGTATAGTGAACATATTTTAAGCCCGATGCTGAGGAGCTGGGGTTTAATCTTGGCTGTAATAACAAATAATTCCAGGATCTCAAATCAGTCATTTTAACTGTTCTATGCCTCAAATTCCTTTCCTCTAAAGTAAGAATGTTAAATTAAATATTCTCTAAGGATCCCCCCTACTCTTGACTTTCACTATGCTTTCTCTGAGCACAGGGCTTCCATTTTAAGCAGAAATGCCTGCAGTCAACAGCTTGATGGGAAGAAGACAATTGCAAGTAACAACTTGTAACCAAAGGAATTGTGCCTGTAACTGACCATGATGAAGACTCTCTAACAAACACTGGACTCTACTTGCCGGACCTTAAAGGATGCTTGGCTCTGTTCTTTCCTTCTCTCTCTCCTTTTTTGATTTGAGCATTTTGCTGTGCAGTTGATTCATCTAGCATTGACACTCTGCTCTGAAGGCTGCCCTGTGCCTCTTTCTTTCCAGATACTCACTGAGGCCAGGAAAAGATATATATACGTAGCTTGCCAATGATTCTGGACGCTTCGATGCAAGAATTCATCCATTTTTGGAATCTATGCCATCATCTTGTTGCCACTTATTTGATCACTTCTTCTTCCTACTAGTTATTCACTTCTTTCCCTGTTTAATATATTCTGCAATTAATGCACAGTTATTCATATTACTATACTCTTAATAACCTCATCTCATAATTTTGGTGTTTTGATTACAACAATCTCCAGTCTCTACATTATTTCTGCCACCCAACAGTCTAGCGGAGCCTCAGAACTCACAGTGACTCAATTTTTTCTTCCTCCAATCTTAAACTCCAAAATTTTGCTGTATGACTTAAAATTACCCTCTCTGACTACAACCATCTGTTCTTCTATGTCTCTATTCATTCAATTCCAACAAACCTGTCCCTGACTGTGTCTTTATCATGCAAAAGTCACGGAATTATTTTGTATGCACAGTAGCATTTTTTAAGTGAATTCAAACACCCATTCATTTATTCAACAGATACTAATAAACACCTAGAAGTGCCAGACAGTATTGTATATCCAGAGAAACAAAGATGAATTAAATCATGCCCCTACCTTCAAGAAGTTCATTACTAGTGAAGGAGACTGAGAGGAAAGATAAGTAACGTTAGAAGGCATCAGTGCTGTTGAAGGACAAATAATGAAATAATGTGCCAACAGGAGGAACCACTGATTCCATTTAGGTGTCACCGAGGCAGGCTACGGCACTGGAGGATTCAGGCCCACCTGGCAATCACTGATACGTCTCCACAACCTCAGAATAAAACTAACACACTTGTTAGAGATGTGCATATCAGGTTGATTGCCTATAACCACCTTACTATGATACAGATCATGTATTTGTATTTACTAAATCCCTTTTAAATAAAATATTGTGCTATATGATTTGGGAAACTCATTTTTTCCCAAATCTGTCCAAATAATCTTTTGAACACAAGAGGAAAAAATGAGAATTCCAAACCAATCTTTTTGTGTGTCGAATATATCAGGAGTAATCAACTTGAAAAACAGTAAAGAATTCTAGCTCTTTTGTGGTTTTCAGGACTTCATAACTAGACTTTAAAAAATAGATATATAAATGGGCAGGATACTGCTACATTGCTATTCAAAAATGACTAATGAAAATACTAATTATTTTATCAATAAATAAAAATGCTTAAACTGTTAAAAGGAAAACACTCGTATTACACCACTGATCATTAGAGTCAAAGTTGTTTTTCTTTTTCTTTTTTTTTTTTTTTCCAGAGATGTAGTCTTGCTGTCTTGCCCAGGCTGGAATGGAGTGGTTATTCACAGGCATGATCATGATGCATGACAGCCTCAAACTCCTGGCTCAAGCAATCCTCCCGCCTTACCCTCCCGAGTAGCTGGGACTACAGACATGCGCCACCATGCTCGGCTAATTTTTTCTATATATTTTTAGTTGTCCAGCTAATTTCTTTCTTATTTTAGTAGAGACAGGGTCTCACTCTTGCTCAGGCTGGTCTTGAACTCCTGAGCTCAAGTGATCCTCCTGCCTCAGGCTCCCAGAGTGCTAGGATTACAGGCATGTGCCACCACATCCAGCTAATCGTTTTTTTTTCAGTTTTGTAGAGACGGGGTCTCACTATGTTGCCCAGGCTGGTCTCACACTCCTGGCCTTAAATGATCCTCCTGTCTCAGCCTTCCAAGCAACAAAGACCATAAGCACATACCACCCTGACCAGCTAAGTGTGTTTTTATGTCTTAAAGAACATGAAATAGAAGAAAACAGGAATAATACATTACACTAAGGAGAAAACTGGAAAACGTACCAGAAGAAGCTTCCAGTCTTTCCAATCTGCTAATCAACCAGTCGAGGGAGCCGGAAAATTGAGCACAGTTTTTACGATTTCCTCTAATTAGAGCCGCTGCAAAAGAAAGCAGGTTTCACATTTATGTGATTTTCCAGCTGAAAACTTAAAGTATGCTAATGTAATAGTAGCCCTAAAATATTAGATCAAGAACATCTTCATGTTACATCTAAAACATATGCAAGCGTATATATACTTACCTATACAAAATTGAGACATTAAAAGACAAATTGATATTTATTAATGAAGACTGATAAAACCACTGCTCATTAGAAGGAATATAATTTCAGGAAGTAACATTTCACATTGGGAGGTAATAATCAAGGGTAATGGGAAAACCAGTGTCCTGGGAGTTCTCTCACTTGGGTTCTAATACCTATTGCTTTTAATTAGCCATGAGATTAAATTATTCCATCTCTCCTAAGCCCAATTTTCTCATCTATATAATGAAGAAGTTAAGAATACATCAGTTTTCCTAAAAATGTACCATGATATACTTGGATATATAACTAGTAATTACAACTCTAAAAGGTATACAGAGATATACCCAAATGCTACATTTAAAAAAGGATGAGAGTGTCCACGGCCAATAAGTTTGAAAATATATTTTTCTACCTCTTCTTCCCATTCAGAGATTCACAATGTCTGTCAAAGACTCTGACACATTCTGCAGTAAAGAAACCTATTCTAACTTTGCTTAGACTAGTGTTCTCTACACTTCTTTGGCTAAAGAACCCATCTAAAATTCCTATGTGGCTATGCATGATCTCTTTCCACCTAGTTTATACACTCAATTTTAAATTTTAAAATTTTCAAAATCATTCAGTTCTTTCAAAGCAAGTCTGGTAAATATTTTATATGAATTCTACTCTTATACCCAAAAGATTGTTCAGAAAGCGTATAACTGCTTACAAAGGGTCGGCAAGATTTTTTTAAAAATATGGTATTTAAAGGGAGAAAGATGTCGTCACAAGAAAAATCACTATTTAAAATCTGGTGGCACTAGGAAGCAGTTTGAAGAAGTGACGTTTGAGGTTCTGCTACCTATTTACCTCCATGTTACAAGCAGGAGGCAGGAAACCCTGCAGTCAAAGTGTGCAATTAAAGACATCCTTCGCATTTTCAATTTTAATCAATCAATCAATAAATAAATGTTGAGGGTAAGAAAAGAAACACAGACAGAAAAGACAGGAAGGGTCTATCCCTACAATGGCATAAGAAGAGCTTGTTTGTGTATAGAGGCTCCACAATACTTGTACAAAGATTACAGGATGATGACTCAGTTACTTAGGTTTTCCTCTGACTCTGGATCTAGTGGCCCCCATAACAGCCTGCAATCGAGATACACTCATACAGTGCAGAGAACAGGGGGCCACAGGTAAGGATGGAATGCAGCACAGGAATGAGCAGTCCTATGTGCTAAATGGGACTTCTAATTTTAATCTTTAAGAATATCTGTTCCCTGTTTAGAACAGCAGCGACTGGGAAAAAGCATACGATGGAGTTTTTGAATTTTTATAGAGTCTCATTCATTTAAAGATTAACTCACACCTTTAATTTTACTTCAGCTTTTAAAAATTAAATATATTATATATTTTATAAAGGTCAAATGTTAGAGATAAGGTGATTATTGAAACAACTAATGGTGTCAGAATGCAGTCTTTCAATAAGCCATGGGGGATTTAAGATAATCACATAGTAAGCTGCAGAGAAAACTTCATTAAATGTGCTGCAAACTGAAGTGTTATAGACCATGTGCTCTGACAACTAGGTAATGAAACTAGAACTAAGTGAACAAAGCAGAAATAAAAATAATACCTAAGCACTTAAAAAAATTTAAACTCTGCCCTTAATAACCTTTGGGCCAAGGGAGGGATCAACACCACAATATAGAATATCTAGTAAAAATAAAAAATGAGACCACTACCTAACACAACCAAAAGTAAATGGCGAAAACAATACTCAAAATTAACTAAATACTTTAATTGCTAAGCATAGGTTGAAAATTTTTAATTAAACATTCATTTTGAAATATAGGAACAAATATAAGAATATCAAACAAATATAAGAAAATAGAAAAAGAAATAAATAGCAATAACAGTAGAAATTAATACATTAGAAATAGAAGTGATCTATATAATAAAAGTAGTGAGATTCATCAATACTTTTTTTAACATAAGCTAATGATCAACTACACTTTAATAAAGAAGAGAAATTAAGAAAAAAATCATAAATGCAGCCACATTATACATCCCTATACTGGAACTTTCAACATCTGGGAAAAAGAATTGCCTTTATATATATATATATATATGTGTGTGTGTGTGTGTGTGTGTGTGTGTGTGTGTGTGTTTTCCACCAAAACTGACCCAATAGAAGGGAGAAAATCTAAATATAATAATAAACCATGAATAATATTAAGAAGTGTATCAAAGACCAAAAACTTTCTTTCATATATTCAAGAAATAAGTAATTTCTATACTGTTTAAACTGCAATCATACACTGAATAATAACGTTTTGGTCAACAACAGACCACATATAAGATGGTGGGTCCCATAAGATTGTAATACCATATTTCTCCTGTACCTTTTCTATGTTTAGATATGTTTGGATACACAAATATTTACCATTGTGTTACAAAGGCCTACAGTATTCAGTACAGTCACATTCTTTACAGCCTTCTAGCCTAGGAGCAATACGCTACATCACATAGACGGAGGTGTGCAATAGGTTATACCATCTAGGTTTGTGTAAGCGCACTCTGACGTTTGCACAATGACAAAATCACGTAATGATGCATCTCTCAGACCATATCCCTGTTGTTAAGCAATACGTGACGGCATTCCAAAATAAAAAAAACTAAGGAAACCTCCTCCCTATTTATTTTACAAAGATATTATCAGTAATTTTGATATCAAAGCCTAATAAAGTATACATATAATAAAACAAGAGGAAACTCTTACTTACGAATATAAATCCCAAAATTGTATACAAAGACAGTATTTACAAATCAAATTCAGCAGTACATTAGCAGCATCAACCCAATTCAAGATTCATTCCCCCAAAGAGATAGAAATATATCAGGAAATCTGTTAATAAGTCAAAGATGAAACATATGACTATCTCGATAGACTCTGAAAATATATTTCTAATGAAAAAAAATTAGTTCAGGAGAACACAATACCTCCTGCATGCTGTGTGTGTGTGTATGTGTGCGTGTATGTGTATGTTAGCACGTGCATGCCAGGGACACCAATGTGTTTTACAGACAAGTGGAGTATGAGAATTAGAATCCATCAAGTCAGTTAAGAAGAAATCAGTTAAGTGAGGTTCTAAAGTGATGGAAAAGTATGTAGAGAAATACAAGGAAGCTCATCACAACACTGTTTGTAACAGCAAAATACTAAAACAGCCTGAGTGTGGCTAAATAAATAAATGGTGACATATTCCTTCAGTAGGGTAGTATACATCCACTAAAACCTGATGAAGCTTTATAGTCACTGCCAAGGAAAGATGCCCACAATGTAGAATTAATTAAAAACATGTGCTACAAAAGAACACTGATAGCATGATTCCATTGTGTAACGTAAATGTATATACTGAATATAAGTACATGCATAGCATGGAGAAAATTGTGTTTTTTAGACCATTTCTTAGAGAATAAGAGTTGGCTTTTGGGAAAAATATCTTGCTAAGGGCCTGAGATAGAAACAGAGACCTCAAGGAACACTGATACGCGTGGGACTGGTCCACCAGGTCACAAAGTGAAAGTTTCTTATTCCAAAACAGGGGTGAAGAAGAGTGGAGGGAAAAAGGGCCGTGGCTTCTGACATGATCCTTCACAGTGACCCTCTGAACCTGCAATAAATTCTGTCAAAAACCCATAGATGCTCAAAAACAATGGAAGCCTGTATGTGAAGAGGTAATGTTCTATAGCCAGGATACTATGTAACCTTAGAGAAACAATTGTTCGCAATAAAAAAGCATGGAAGCCTGAAAAAATGTAACCAAATAAACCCCCAAAATATACGGACATCAAAAGGAACCCTATAGATTGTCTCATCCATGAAACCACAATTTGGACCAAGCTAACCAAACCTTCAAGTGGAGAGGGAATAGCTGATGTCTTGGTGGGGCACAAATGTACACAAATGCACGCACACAGTGTTATTCTGTAAGTGTGTACATAGGTGTGCAAAATGTTTTGTATCTGTATAATGTGATATATATTCAAAGGAACATTTTTTAAAAGGTAATACACTAAAATGGGTGGTTAAGCATAAGAGTAGCTTCTACATCCTTATTTCTTTCATTGTCTAAGATGCATTAATTTTAAAATCCAATAGTACGATAAAGTTACTTTCTTTTCAAAATGAAAAGGGAAAACAATGTCATCGATATCTGTAGTGACAATCATCATGGTGTCTCAGAGCGCCATTCTCATCTCCGAAGTGCAACAGCAACTGTAACATACACGGTACATCAAGATACAAAAACAAAATCAAGGTAAATGTCCTTTCCTGAATTTGGACAAACAAGCTAAACCTTCAAATACTCCTTAATTGCTGCCTAATTAGACATAAAAACTAAGTTAAGACCTTTCATCTTCCACACATCACTTTTTTCCTCATATATTTAAGAAATACTGATGTGAATGTATCAGGCACTATGGCTGGCACTGTGAATACCAGCTGAAATACAGTAGGAATATAATACAATGCCTTTCAAGTCTTCTATTATATTCCAAGCTCTTTTAGATCTTATGCTCTGTCTTATTATTCCTTTGCATGGTGCCTGAAATTTAGTAGGTATGTTATTAATATTTCTTAACATGAACAAATGAATAAATAGCTACCAGTCTCCTATGGAATATCAGCGGTTAAATAACTATAGTATAAAAACATTTTGATCCTTGCACTTTGGGAGGCTGAGGTGGGAGGATCGCTTGAGGCCTGAAGTTTTAGGCTATAGTGAGCTATGATGACACCACTGCACCCTAGCCCGGGTGACAGGGCCAAGACCCTGTCCTAAAAAAATAAGAGAAAAAAACAACATT